GTGTCTTAAGTCTAATCTTCACATTTTCCATCATTTTCAAAAATCCAGTATCAAAATCAAGAGTAATTATAATTTCTCTAGCTGGACTCTTCATTCACTCAGTCTTAGAATCATAGAATCATTTAGGTTGGAAAATAAAATCAGATTCTTTAAGTCCAACCTCTGCAACCATAATAACTGGTCAGTAACAATCTAGGGCTTGTAGGGCTTTAAATGTAATAAACAATCAGAGGCTGTTTCAAGGACATTGCATACATCAGTTGATAACTGGCTCGTTGATCATTGACTGATCCTTTCAAACACTTAGCACATCCGCACAACATCATATCTGTGTTTCTGAGATTACTACAGTGATAGCATATACACCCTTTGAAGGCTTTACTGCTGTGCCAAAAGCAGCATACATTAAGAACTGCCCCTGACAGGATTAATCAGTAAGGTTAATACTAAACAATTCTGATGAAATTTCCCAAATATGAGACCAAACTAGAAGGCTACACTGGCCTGGAGAATCAAGGAACAATTGCTTCATCTTGAACTACATTAATTAAAGCATTTAGATAAGAGGTAAGAAAAAAGAATAGGAACTGCAAACTCTTCCAAATGGTTAATTTTAGACAAAGTACATTTTTAAATTGCTTATTGATGATTCTAATAAACCTATAGCTTTGATATACAAAGCTAAAATCCACTATTTTTTTGCAAGACCTTTACCAGTACTGAATAAATATCTCATAGTGACACACTTAATACCTGTAAATGAGATTGCTATACATAGTTTGCAATTCTTTGTTCCAATTACAGTTAGAGAAAACCATGAAGAGTAGAGATAAGGAAATTTTCTGCAAGCTTCATGCTTCATGAAGGTGACTTTTTGTTTTATACCATTGCAATTCTAACCTATATCCTCTAGAAAGCAAGACCATCTAGCAAGCATTTCCATTTCTAAGGAAAAGGTATCTTTTAATTGTATCAATACTAAAGCTTCAGCTCCCACAATGCATCACTGACTTGAAACTGGAAAAAAATAAAGTATTTCCAGTGCCTCATAAAAGCAGCAAATGAGAAGACAAGGTACATGAAAATTTAATTACTTACAACTCAGAAATAAATAGATATTTAAGAGCAAGCTTTTGATAAACATAAGCTTGACATATAAAATTTCCATTTCAGCAATATTTCTAAATAACAAAAAAAATAGATTCACACAATAAACCCTCTTCTATAACACACACATACACACATATACATCTACACAAATTTGTGTTGTCAGCCAAGTGAGATCAAAGCAAACTGTTGTTTAATTTAAACTGAAAATGAAGATGGAAAGAGCTGTTACATGCTTAACTACTTCAAATCCATTATTTCTTATTTACTGAAATATCTGCTTGATAAATATAAGTTGCAAGGATTTGTGAAAGCACTGTATGGAGTTCTTTGCAATTCAATACAAACACAGAAAATTAATGAGGCTGTGGGTCCATAAGACACAAAGTCCAGCTCTAGCCTGTTAGTACCAGGTGTAGGAAAAGAAAACTAGAGCTGTATGATGCAAAGTGCTGCTCCAGTATAAATTCACTTTTAGTGTAGATCAGCTCAAATTCTTTTGACAAATTACCTTCATACCAGTAGATATTACAGCAAATCCCACACTGTCTGTCCTGCAGCCAAAGCGAACATAAATCTATTATTAAAGCATAAAATCAGCACATACACCCTTAGCATACTCTGAGTATTCAACATATATGTGATCATGTGCCCACAACTAAGCCAGATAAAACTGGTCTTTGCTGGTAGCACACAGAATTTGTATTGCAACTGAAAAACCAAGACTGATAACATGAAAAATGCTTCTCTTACCTGCAGGCCTTTTTTTTCATAATAGCATAATTTGATGTAATTTTTTATGCCTGAGACTTTCTCATCCCCAAGCCAATAACTAACACATTTTTCTCTCTTATTTTTCGAGTTCAAGTTTCCTTTCTTTACACTTCTCTACATTTTTAATAGAATGCTGATGCTGTGTATAACAAGTGTGAAGTGATATTATCCACAATTACAGGAAGTCCATATACACAAACAATTTCAGGAAGAATATTTATCTACAAATGGAAAGACTGTAGACCAGAAATTTCTTTCCTTCAAAAGAAAATAAAATTATGGGTGAGTGTATGAAATATTAATTTCTCATACAGAAACATCCATGCTAGTAGTTAATAAAATAGTGAACAATAAAGCTCTGAAAGAAATGAAGAACAAAGAAGAATCACCAAAGCAAAAAGGAAATATTCAAAAAAATACTTGACTTATGATAGGAAAACTATTTTATGCTTTCACCGCTGAAGTAATTGCTTGCATATTTAACAAACCTATCAAAATAAGCCCAAAAAGCAAAACCATACTTTGTTCTAAGCCACAGTGAAGCAGGTCAGTAGAATACATATACCCATATGAGAGGTATATTCATAAGCATGATGATCATGAATGTTGGCATGTCCTAGAGTTTCAAGCTGTCTGAAAGGAGTGAACTAGTTCAGTAATTATAAGTTTCTAAATTACTACAATTTCAACATCTATTTTAACCCCTTTTAGTAACACAAATTTAATTTATAGTTCTAAAATTAACATTCTTGAATCCAAGCCTGCTCTTAGTAACTGGCGGAAAATAACTAAATCAGCAGAAAAGTAAAGTATCACCTTTGCCTATTATTTTTATTGCCAGGAAGGTGCTACCTAGAAAAAATACTAAAGAACAAGAACATCTTATGCACAATCAAGGATCACATTGAAAAAACAATGTGTAGTTTCAGGGCAAGTACTTGGAGGAAGAAAGAAAAGGAGTCTACCAAACAGCTCTCAGGGGTCACCAGGACCTTTGAACAGAGAGAACGGCGAGAAGAAGAGGCACACACACACTTGCTCCCAGTGAAGTGACAAGAACACTCACCTATAAGAACTAGGTTCTAGTACCCTTCATAAGGATTTAAGTATCCTTTATAAAGTGGAATGCATCAATGAAGGCCAAAAAGAAAAACTCACCCTGAAATAGCCTTTTAGGCTTTGTGTGGCTTTCAAGGGCCAATGAGGTAGATGGAAGACTACCCCAAATTGCCATCACAGTTGGAGGAGACACACTGTATAGGCACACTCTGTTCCCAGCTACTAAACTGGCTAAGTAATTTCCATTTTTTTATTCTCAGGTCAATTTATATTTTCTATTGTACATCATTCACCTTTGAAACACCAAATTCCTTCCTGCCATTCATCTTGCACTCACAACACTACTTGCTCTTCCAGCATAACATAAACTATATTAATTTCCCCCTTTTTTGAGGTAATGACAAATGCTACTTATCTCCCTGCAAAGCGAGAGTAAAATATAATTTCACTCGAGTTTCTACTTCAGCCAGTATTTCTTCCAATGCATTTTATAGTAATTAACTTTGTTTGCAACCATTTCTGCTCCCATATTCTGAAGCTTCTTCCTTCACAGACAAAGATATTGTCCATTTTTTGCACTGTAGTACATAATATTTGTACCACCTCTGCTTTTAGTTTAAAGTAAAACAGCTATTTCCCCCAAAAGAGCCACATTTGCATAAAGTGTACAATTGTATAGTGCATTTTATTAGAAAATTACAAGCTGTTTTTAAGGGCTCTTGAAATAAAGACACTTGGTAATTAGTATTTTTTACAGGACCAAGTGCTACTTTTTCTTGTTTGTTTTACTAAAACTGACCTTAAAATACAAAAACCGAACAACTTAAAAATTTGAAATAATTTTTCACCTTTAAAGGTTTCTAACCATCAAAAATTCTTTCATGCATCTAATATTTCAAACTAAATCTCAAAAATCTGTTGTTTAACACAGTTCTATATTTTCTATTATACAAAACAAATCTTCTATAAATGACATTATTTAAATTATGATGTCCATACATCTTGCCTTTTCCATGAGAATCTAGGCACAGTTGAAATTTTACTGTGCTGCTATAGTCAATTACATTGGGTAGCTCATTTTCACTATAAAGGATATTCCACACCTGATAATAAATGACTAGTCAGTGACAAATTTTTCTAATGAGCTGGCAGTAACTTTCACAAAAAGTGGTGATACAAGAAGAAAAATATAGCTAGGTTTTTTGGCTCAAGGGAACTACACAGAACTGACCTTTAGATCATAGATGCCACAGTATCTACTTTAATAAGGGGAGAAATAAAACCATGACGTGATTCCCAATCACTTAACCATTAACCTCACTTACTCCTTAAGTAAAGGCAAAGAAGTCTCTGTTTAGAAACAGTGACAGGAGAAAAAAATAAATGTTCAAAAACTGTGCAACAGAGAATTCCTCAGAAAAGATGGAAAAAGAAAAACAAGGATACGCAACAAAAGCAAAGCAATCTGTTTTGGCAAAAAGTATAAGAGTAAAGTAGGATTTGCAAAAGGATTTAAGAAGTGAAAAGCAGCAACACTTTATAAAAGGCAACAAGTTGTTTGTATAGGGACCATTGGAAATTTCTGAAGTAACAGGAAGAAACAAAGTGAATTCCAGAAGCAAACACTGCAGGAATAATAGCGAGACATGAGAGCAAGTAACTGTTTCTTTAATTTCAGCCACTTAGATTTTTCCTGGAGCACATGAAACATGGTAGCACAGTATTTTACATATTCAATTGCAATTTTATATTTATGTACTGCAAACATAATAAATATGTGTTTGCATGTGTGTCCCTCACTGATTAGGAATCACTGCACAAGGAGCTTCTTTAGACAGACAGATATATAGATAGATAACTCTGTAAAATGTGGCCAGTTTTGTGGATCACGCCTGCAGAACAATTAGCACTTCCATGGGTGACTGTAAACAGCTGTGTAACAGAATATGGAAGATCAGTCTTCAAGAATCAAGTCCCATACCTGCTGAAACTAGACATTTCTGCTACACCACCTTTACCATTTCCTCTTACAATTCTGAATGAAGAAGAGGTTTTCTTACCGGAGTGAGTGCTCCTTCTGCTTGAGCTTCCATAGGACTTGTAGGGGTGGCTGCAAGAAGCTGTCCTGCAGCTCCAGACAGAAGTTCCAATTTATCTGTAAGCTGTTCAGATGCAGCAGGGTGACATTCCACGTCGAGAACAAACTCCACACCTGAAGTTTGGTTCTTGGCATGGACATCGTTTCCTGCCCAACCACCCTCTTTGGACTGCTCTTCTGGAAGGGACTCCTCTAGAACTTGTAGTACCTCTGGCTCTTCATCTGAGGGACTTCCAGTCATTTTGTGCCCTAAAGCCTCATTTGTCCTGAAGTCCTGCAAGTCCCGTTCCTTATCTATTATCACCCATTCCTTAGAATCAACCTCCTGCCTGCAGGAGCTTAGGTTAACAGCTACAAATCCATTGCTCATAACACCATCAGCATGGTCAGGAGAATTAGCTGACGCAGGCTTTGAAGCATCTGGAAGATACTCTTCATCATAGTGCCAAACATGGTCCGTGCGGGCAGGAAGAGATGTTTTCTGAGAAAGAGGAGGAACGCCAGCAACAGGAGTCTCTGCCACTTTCAAGTCTTTCTGCTTCTTCTCCAAACTTAGAGAAAAAAAGTTAATATCTGAATTAGTTAAGAATTAATTAAATCATTTATATTACATTTGAGTGTTTTCAGAAGAAGAAAATTAGATTTATATAAAAATTTGTTGTCATATTCTACAACAACCTACAATGGTTCAAATATCCACAATTTGAGACAAATAAGTATGATGTCAAGTAAATATGGATGGTCTTAGAAATGTACACATTTTTAATTTTAGTTGTAATGCATGACATTGTATTGTAAATATAATTACCAGAAAGGAGAATTGTGAGAGAAAAAAAGTCAGACGTGAGGTAACCACAGATGTCCAGTGTACTTAATTTGTTACAAAGCAGAGACTCAAAGAGGAAGAGAAGAAACGGATGTCTCCTGCAGGAGTTATTATATGCTTTCAAGAAGAATGTTATTTATTGCTTTGACTGATTCCTTACTTATGCTTTGCATAATTTGTTTCATCAAACAAATTCAAATTCCTAGCTCCCCTATGAAGTATTCAGAAAGATTTTGCAACTGTCATCGCCCCAGCTCTCTTCTACTGTCCCCACTCAGCCTCTGCCTTTCAGTCAGATTTCACTTTGTCCCTCTCCCCTTAATCTTGCTAGACACAGGCAAACTGAATCCATTTTCATACCTCTGTCTCTTCTCTACCTTCAAATGATATTTTAAGTTATCTGTCTTCCACCAAGATTTTTTTATGTTGGTGTAAAACATTTGGACATAACTAAGCCTGCTGCATGCAGGTAGATTTCTAACTTCTTCACTCCAGTTCCTGTAAACTTCCCTTCTCGTATCATATAGCCTAATCTCATGCTACCTCTATTGGGCACCTTATGTCAACTTTCTTATTCAGAATGACTTGTACTGACTGTCAAGAGTATGCCATCGAAGAAAAACTTAATAAATACTAGGGTTACAACCACTAAGTCTTGAAATAAAAAATTCCCAGGTGAGGGAGTCCAACTTCAACCGTATTCAAGCACTAAGAATTTTCTAAAGCAGTTAACAAGTAGTGGAATCCATTAATTGAGCAATATTATGAAAAATATTTTGCAGTAACTTGCATAAGCATACTCAACAGGTCCATTCCTGTTCTTCACACAGCATAGATAACAGTATCCTAACCACATATCCTTAAAAGATCCTAGCAAAATGATACCATAATTTCTTTACCAGGTCTCAAGAAACTTATCAGTGTCGGGCTTAGACTCCAAGGTCATACGCTTCTCCAGTTCAAAGCTGTGAATGGAGCGCAACTTTCGCACCAGTGGAACATCTCTGTCTAACTGGGTGGTCTCTGAGCGAACTCGAATTGGAGAACCAAGACTTGGGGCATTCAGCATTCCATTCCCTGGTCCATGGCTGTTTTCTTCCTCTGTGGCAGCCTGTGCAAAATGTAAAGTAAAAACGTAACTCACTAGGAGAGGCAAAACAAGAGGAAGACAAGGTACTACATGGGAAATACCCCCCCAGTTTTTAGACTGTGAAAGCCCATTTGTGTTTGGGATAGTCCTTAAGTTCATGCCATAGTTAAGTTATGAGTTTAGATATACTCTTCAGCACACATCTATAGCTGACAAAATACTGGCAATATATTGGTTCTAGGTAAGTGAGAATAGGAGTATCAAAGACACTAATACAGTTACATTTACTCTGATACTTCAAACCCATCTCTGAAATTTTCTTCAGTAATAGTCTGAAACCTAGCATTTGGTAGCATCTTTGATCTGCTTCACAGTCAAGTGCTCTTATTAAAGAGAAGCTAGCTTTCAGGCTGTCTTTTTGTTTCTCTGGAGTATATAACACTGTTATACACTAAATCTACTAAATATTTCTGTGACTTTAACCTATGTTTTAACCCAGCTGCATTCTATCTTAATAATGACTGAACATGATTTAGAATAATAACTGAATATGATTTAGAGCTGGGAAATCATGATCATCCTTGGTTTCTACTGGTGTAACAGAAAGTACCTTTGTTTGAACTAGAACGATCTCCTTTCTCTCTCTTTGGTAAAAACAAACAAACAAACAAACAAACACATTTGAAAGCAGGCACCATGCCTTGGTCTTTCCCACAATACATTTGTTTTCCTAGCACATAATGAGTAACAGCTTCAAAACTAGACAGCCCTCCTAGATAAAGAACACTTTAGTACCAGATCTGTTTTCATGTTAAAAACACTGTTATATTAAGAAAGAGGCAACATATGTCCAAGTATGAAACACAATGATTGTGAGTAAGGAAGAGAGGGACGAATTCTCAGCAATCACTTTGGAAAAAACAGCAGTATTCTCTTCTAAAGACCAGCCAATGAACCTCTGAATCAGTACAAAGGTATCACATCTTATGGAGACAAAACCACCAAGTGCATTAAATGGATACTGCCATTCACACTGAGGATTTGTTGACTGGAGAACATTAAAATCTTCTTTTGCACATTTAGAATCTAGCTTCTACACATGCAAGATGCAGGAAAATTGCTTTGATTTCACTCAGTGAGCAGGAATGACGATAATGTCTGAAGAAAACAAATAGGAGTAAACTACAAAGAGTCTCAAATTATCAGCAAGCTATTAATCATAAAGACCTGATAAAGTGACACAAGTCTCAAAAATCTGCCTGCTTTTTTCAATATATAAAATGTGTTATCTCCAACATAAATAATTTTCTTAGGTCGTTCTGGTTAATCAGTATAAGTACAACTGCCATATTAATTACATCTTATGGGCACTACAAGAACATGAAGCTGTGCAAAGATGGTCTTCACAATGCAGATTTGAAAGTACCTTACAGATCCCCAGTTTTATTTTGTTTCTGTTTGCATCCATTTCTTCCCAAACATCTTTTTCCTGAGGACGCTGATGTCCAGGGGATCCAGGTATTTTCTCTGGTGATACACCAACAGGAATAACATTCTCTCCATCACTGAGCTGTTCATCAGGGAATACTTCATCTGTATTTTCCCGCAGCAAATCTCCTGGGATAGGAGTGGCATTGGCAATTCTACAAAAGCAGTTTAAAAAAAAATCAGAAAATTAAAAAATTTTATACTCTCATGTGTTTACAGAAATTATTTTCTATTTTAAAAGAAAGAAACAAGCAAAAACTTACAAAGAAAATCACATTTCTGCAGAAAAATAAAACTTGGAAATTATTTAATATAACACCTCCAACTTCCTGGCTTTCACAATTTATTTAATGTAGGTACATAATAAAATGCAAATAAAAAAATACTATCACATAAAAGTTGTTTATTCAAATGTTTGTGAAGCCACTTCTGAGAAAATTTGCTACAGATCATGTCCAGGCTCAACTTCTCTCCTGATTCTTCTCTATGTATTCTTCTATTCAAAAAAATTAATGGCACCTATAAACACTTCTTACGTTCATCCATAAACACCTCCTATATTCTTCAGTCCCCTGAGATGAGTATGGGTGTTATTGAACATCATATCTTGTCCAAGTTACTTCATTACAGAATGTCTCATACAACATATTAAATATTATTTCAAACACAACCAAAATCTACTTCCAAATTTCTTATAAAGATCCAGTCATTTTTCAAACTTATAAAGGAAATTGCAGCTAGAATTTTATTTCAAGATAACAGAAAACAACAGGTTTATTTCCAGGCAGTTAAATTTCCAGGCACTTAAACTCAGAACACATTATTTTGTTTCACAAAATACAATTTAGCAAAGGATGGATGAGGAAATTTACATGCAATTTCCTGGAGTACTATTTTATTGCTATAATTTTAGGACTGCAGTGCTGGTCTTTTAGGACAGTATAAACTGGAACCCTAAAAAGGGAAATACTTCAAATGCTCCCAAACCTCCCTTCCTGTATGCATTCAAACTCCTGCAGCAAAAACCTGAATTATGGAGGCAATTTCCCTTTGGTAGGAAGCCCCTCTGTGGCTGCCACTGAAGAGACCACACAGTGCATACCCAATTGCAGCCGGCGTAAGCCGAGTGTGCAGCTGAGGGGTGGTTGAAGTTGTTGTTGTTGTCAGAGAGCCATCAGTTCCACTCTTCTCCCAGTCAAAAGGGTCGCTTTCAATAACCCCAAACGTTTTCATGCTGTTGTCAAACACAGACATGAGAAGCTGAAAATAAAGAAAAAAGTTAATAAGCTTGATTTTTGCCAAAGAGACCAAGTAATTAAGAAATATCCTGGTATTTATTATCAGGATATTCATTTACTTATCCTGAATATAATACTGAAAACAACATTAAAGAGTTTTTTATATTAAACACTTCTCATTTTTTCAAGATTTTGAGGCCAAAATATACAAAATTACATTTTATTGAAACAGAAGAAAAAAAATCCACCCACATCTATGTTTTTAAGTGGCATGAGGCAAAGATACACCATAGACTTTAACAGAAAGACAGAAATACACACAGAGAAGCATAACTACATTGCTGCAGAATACCATACAATGGCTCTCTAGCAGAGGAGGAGAAAATACTACATTTGGTAACACCATGAAACCTAGGAAATGAATGAGATGTAGAAAAGGATACTGATCTGCTAATTCATAAAACCTTTGTGTATTAAGAACCATAATCATTTACTTCATATAATGCTGACATTTATACTATATAAATGTCTACGTGTTCAACCCCCATTTTATGCTATGGAAAAGCCTTTAGTAAATTTGTGTCCATGACGGAGAAAAAAATGGCATCACTTTCCTCTCTCTGTGAAACAAACTGTGTCTCATTCTAATAGCTGACAGGAAGGCTGTGTCCATATCATTCTCTTACTCTGTAGCATTTCTAAGGGTTTTTTTCCCCAAGAAGCTAAAAATCTGGGGTTTCTTCCAATTCAGGATTCTGAAAATTCTTCCACACTCTCCTTTGCCATACCCTTTGGCAATAGATGGAAAGTTTGGATCATTTTTCTTGTATAGAGTGGTCTCACCCATGTAATTTTTACTCTCAAGAACCTTCTGTGTGCCACCTGTCCCAGTCATTTTTGTAATCCTACTGAAGAGCACAAAGCCATAGTTCACTCTGTCCCTTATGCACTGTGTTTAATTCTTCTCCTCCTCTAAACATTAAGTAGTGTCTCTGAAGTAATTTTTAAAGCCATTCTCCTTTAAATCTTTTCAACAATTTCTGCTATAAGCCAAATGCAAACTCAAATGCTTATTGATATCAGGAGGCTGAGGCACTGTATGCATAAATATTTGAAAAAAAAAACCATCTGATATTGCCAAATCAAACAAGGCTTCTTGACCTTGGTGATGAACATTTTAGACTACAAACTCTTTGAAGCAAGGATACACATACATTCTTGTTCAGTGCCCACCCAGAAATACAAGGATTATAGTAGGTAGGAATAACACCACTGCAAACACAAGTTAAGAGAGACCAGAATTTAAAAGAGCATTCTCACTGCTCTAAATAAAACCACCCTGTTCTGCTCTAAAGCACATGACCAAGACTATGTTGTAAGGCTCAGGCTGCAGCTACACAACTGCAAATGTTCCATGAATAGTCACAGGATTGTAAATTACTGGGCTTTCTCTATCATGGAAAAACTCTCTCCTGGTATTGTGTTAATTGCTGAGTGCATGTGCTGTGTTAGATACAAACAGACCACAGAAAAGGATTTGCAAAATATGACTGTCTATATGCTTTATCATTCAGATTCTGCAATGTAAAATGTATTTACCAGTCTATAATCAAGTTTTTCTATGCAACATAAAAATTTCTGCTATAGTACTTTTTACCATAGGGAAAAAAATCTGATACATCTTTATAACTAGGCGCACAAAACATTGAAAACTTTTTCCTCATTTAATTGTAAACTATAGGATAAATTTCATGGAAATTTGTAATGGAAAAGAGAAAAAAAAATCAAAGTATTTATTTTTCAGCAATACTGAATATTTTTTGTATTGGTAATAAGGGTTTTTTTAAACATTCAAATTTTTTCACAAAAAATTATTTGTTTTGCAAATGTGCAGAATCATATACCAGTAGATTTAGAGAAATCCACTTACAACAGGAAATCAGTTATTCCTTGAGATTTTCAGCTCTTATTTCAATTCTTATATATCTTGATTTCTTTGTTCTACCAAGCAAAGTAGACAAGTTGCTCTCTTAAAGTTACAATTCCAGAATTAGTCAGATTTATTTATTCAGTTGAACCAATTACACTTGAACACTATCAGAAACTCATTCCTTCTGATTTCACTGATTTAGGGAGTTGAACACAGGCACAGAGGAAGATAGGTCCTGCAAGTGGGAAGCAGGAATGCATGTTTCTGGGAGCCAGAAGGAAGGCACACAGGGATAGCTCGCCACGGCGTGCAGTTTGATCAGTACTTCTCACAGTGTGTGAGGCTGAAAAAAATGTCAAGTCTTTCCCTCCCAGCTTCTCCTGAGCACTCCTCTGCTGCTTTCCACAAACTGGGAAGAATTTCTACATTTATTTATTTTTTAAACATAGGTCAACACTGAGTGAGTTAAGACACATTCTACAGCATATGCTCTCGGCACATACCACCTTACCATGGAGCAGAGGCTGCCCATTTCAGCAGGCAACACTCTCTTAAACAAAGAAAAATGAAAATGACTGGTCTTCTATGATCTCTATACACAATAGTTCAGGTTTTTTCCACTCATACCATGACTGTATGTTGTGCTCTAGCTGTAGGTGTTGAGTTCCAGACTTTGGAAAACTGCCAGAATGACAATCCCTGAAAGAACAATCTGATCAATTAACTTACAGAGCATGTACTATAGGCTGTGATAGTAGGATAGCTCCCAACCCTAACAGAATACTGACTGAAAAACAGGTGTCAATTGTTCTTAGAAACTTTAAGGGAAGTCTTCCCAAATGGAAAAAAATAATATGTTTGAACCACAGAGTTTCTGTGGCACTAAATGGTCATTAAATTAACTTTGTGGTGCACAAACCATAATAACTATCAAGATTACACAATGAAATCAAAGTAAATTGAAGATGAAACAGTATAAAATTCTCTTCTTTATAAAACAGAAAGACAAAATAGTACAAGTGTTTACCTGGTAATCAGGCTTTGTGAAGTAATCCAAATTAGAAATGTGATCCAGAAAAACGTTGAATTCTTGAGGAAGATGTTTCAACATAAGTCTGTGTTCATACCTTTCTTTAATGGAGCCCACTTGCTCCTAGGAGTGAGTAACACAACAAACATTGGCACATCTTCCTTCTCTGTTACAACATACTCACATTCTCTGTTACAGCCATTAAATACACCACTAGCCAGAGAGACAGGTCACTACATTACACTGAATGGTAGTCAGAAAGGCCATTCTACACCTGATACCAAGACAGGAGATTCTATAGGTTTTGGCCTCATTACACTTGCAAAATAATGTACAAACTTCAAATTCAATAGGAAAGCCATTTAGTTTTCTACTGTGTTTTTGTTGGTGGTGTTTGAATGCTGACTGATACGAAGAACTGTCACTAAACACTCCAACCCTTTCTAACAGTTATGTTTTAAAGGCTTAAATGTGTTCTTGCATCATGTCAAGCTCAGTCACTTTTTAGTGTATATTCAGTCATGTAAGATGCACAAATCCAAACCAAAAAGGAGATGCTACCTATACACCACACTGTTATCTACCAATACACAAACCACATCAGAGAGTAACCTGGTTCCAATATGATTACAAAAGAAGCTGCAAGAAGCAATAACAGGTTGATTAGATATTGTTTCTTTGCATACTTCACCTATGACATGTGATTAAAGAACTACTGCATATTGCCCAATCCACTTTAGTTCACAATCAAATAAGAAATACCTATTTCACAAATAATCAAAACAGGTTAGACATTTTAAGTGTGTGATAGCTGAAATAAAGTACTCAAGTGGTAACAGGAATAATGAAGTAAGTGGCAAATATACACTTACTTCTGCCCTTCACAATAATTTCAATCTAGAAGTATAACCTCCTTTCTTCCTAGAACACTTAGTAAAATTTGATTGCTTTTTATACCATGACACTAGTCACAAGAACTAACACTACAAAAAACTGGAAAATGTAATGTTAAAATTATTTAATGATTCTAAGAGGAATTTTTATCACAGCATTTCCCTGGAATCCAGAAGTAAACCTTCCTTTTGCTCTGGTTTCACCTTCAGCTTTACCTTATCTTTTATTTTTCTCCAAGGCAGCTGCCCAACCACAAATTCCACCAACATGTAGAAGAGAGACCAGAGGTCATCATGCCGACCCATTTCCTGTAAAAGGAAATATTATTTTAAAGCATATTACAAATACCTAAACAAATGGGAAGATAAGTTCTTTACTGCTCGTAACTTCAATTATTATATAAAATTTAATATAACCTATGCTGCAAAACAAGTTAATTAAATCCAGTGGCTATTTTAAGGAGAAACATACAAGTAAATTTCCACAGAAGACAGAGAGAAATACAATAAAAGTTGAAGTGTGTTAAAATAACAGAGCAAATCTCTGTTAATTCAGATTTCTTTAGAGTATGATGTTAAGACAATATACTGGGCATTATGTACCTCATAAAACTCAGTAGCTTCACTTTTGTAACTTATTAACTTGCAATACAATTGAACACCAAAGATAAGTATTAGAATCACTATTATTCATACAAGAACTTTTTTATCCTCAACTACTGTAAATTACATTATCCTTTCACAAAATGTATAGCTGTTAATTTCTACATAATAAAAGCACAGATAAGAATACAAAAAAGGAAATTAATAGTAAGTGTGTTACTGACTGCTTCCAGCTGCATGAGACGGTTTAGGTCCAGATTGTGATACTCACTCTGTTTCTATGCGCGTTGATTGATGCGTATCGTACCGTTCCTCGAAAACCAGCAACAGCTCGTGGCTGCCAGAGAACAGGAAAGAGACTCATTGTCAGAAATAAACCCTCTGACTACTGAACTTGGCATCTACAAAGTGAGTACAGAGCCACAACATATCTCGTTTGAGATTTTATTTTGGTTTACTGTGCTGCTACAAGTTCTCAGTGGAAATTCAAGTGGGCACTAACTGGTTGACCAATAAATAGCAAAGGTTGCATTAGACACCAATTTAAAATATTTATTTCTTTCACTTTCTGAAAACCAGCATTTCTTCCCTGACACTCTAGAGATCTTGTGATCTTAAGTCAATTGATGTTTTATAATCAGAGAATGTATTTTCCCCATCCTTTTTTAAATTCAAATAAACATATTACAGAAGGAGTTATATAATTTATGACAGCCACAATTAGTAGATATTTAAATTTTTTCAATCAAACTGTGATATTATTGTTTTGCCTAAGATATCCAAATATCCGATCCATGCTACCCCCTTAATTAATCATTATATATAGACAAAACTGCCAGGACTATTAAATTGGCTTTCTTTTATGCAGTCTTATCTTCCCAATAAATAGTTCTTTTTGTTTCCTCTAACAATGAGCATAAGAAGCTTGAATTATTTACCTCACCTCTGACTTGTACTTAGAGAGGTAATGGTGATTCGTCTGGTCTCCCAAGACTCATGGCAATTCTTAATTTTTTTTTTTTAAATTTGCACAATACATTGAAAAGCCTGGTTTGATATACACACAAAGACAACCACAATACATAATTGATACCTTATTAAGATAAAACATTTCCACCTCTCTCTACCTATATATATATGTATATCTTTTTCTTATCCACCAACAAATGCTATACAGAGGTATCATTTAAATAAATCAAGGGCTGCCATTACCATCAATAAATCTAATTATTGAATCCAGCAGGATTACACAGCAACATCTTTAAAAAAGGATTCAACAGCCCATATAATCAATATCTGCTAGAGCAGTACAATGAGAGCTGAACCAGTGTTAGTTAAGGGAGAGAATATTTTATAGGATGTTCTTAACAAGAAGAGGAACTCAGATGATAGTCTACAGATCTTAGACTTTGCATGTCATCATACAATTTAAATGGTGCTCAGATCACATTTCATAATAATGTGAGACAGACTCAACTGTCTGTCTGCCTTATTTTTAATTCTACATCATATTCCACACTGAACATTACCCCTGAAACATTACACTGTAGTTGCAGAAATTTCACAGTACCATGCAATTAGAAAAAGAACAGCTCAAAATGCTTTGGAACTGCTAAATTTAGGCAGAAACATTTTTTTTTAAAAAGCACCTAAATCTCCTTATTAGTTCTGCAGGTTGGTAAATCATCCAACTAAAGGTAATATAGCATCACTGCCAAGACAATGAAAATGCAGATAAATTTCAAAAAATATGCAGTTTAATTAATAGTATTTTCTCAGGAGGGCAGTGAGAGCTTAAGTTTAAAATAGTTGCAAATACAAATTCCATAAATCTCAAGAGCATATACTTTCAGAAGTGAAATCAAATGTTTGCTGTCTTTTGCCTCTGGCATGAATGTTAAAAAGGAAGCACTATATTCAGTTTTACTTAGTTAAATATTTCTGTTCTTCTGAGAATAATGGAAAATATGAAACCGAGGATGAAATGCCACTTTCATTTCTAGCATCACGACTTCAATTTCTACTTGATAACTAAGACAAAAATGCTTCAGTTGCTGGACAAATCAAGAAAAAAGACTAAGAAATTTCATATGATAACTAAATTATCCCACTCAGTTTACAAAAACTAAAAATCTGACCTATTCCACTTCTGTCCTGGGGAAGAAATGTCCATATGAGGAAATTCATTGTGTACCAATTCAAATGTTTTTGAATGTTAAAGTCACAGCCATCCTTATCTGCCCTAACATGATTTCAATTATCTGAGAATCACCTAGATGGGAAGGAAAAAAAAAAAAAGAATGAATACTGTTTCTATCTATGAGCTTATAATGAAGTAAATTCTGAATTCTTTATTCCATCAAGGGCATCTAAAACCTTTCACTGTCTCTTGCCTTAAAGTATCATTTCTATAATCAGAAGTAAAAGCATATGTCACTCTGTTCTATTTCAAGATGCAATAAAATACCTTTAGTAATGCAGCTGGTCACTTTTCAATAGCAGTACTGCAATGCCACACAACAATAATAAAATAATTCTATCATGTCTTTCTTGACATGGGTGATGTTCTGTAGGTCAAATCAAGTTTGCCCAGTTCAGAACAGAACTTACAGACTTCTGAGCATTTGCATAACTTCTGAAACTGTTTCAGAAATTTTCATGCATCTCACAACATCTCACGTAGCCAAAGAAAAATACTAAATCCTTCAAATTTAAGTTAAAAAAATTTTTGAAGGTACATGCAGATGAATTAAGCTTATCCAGAGACTACAATGAATTTTTCTACTTATCAAGGTACTTTTTAAATGTAACATCAGTTTTCTTTGGAGATGTCACTGCCCTGGAAACACTTGGCAAGGTCTCAGATAATCTGCATGCAGGAAATTAGCAGTTCCTAGCAAAGTGAACTATTTCCACTAAGCACACAGCTTTCAGACTCCTGGGAGACAGTATGCTTACAAACCTAAGAATGTTGCTTTTTTGGAGTGGCTGTGGAGGAGGAAAATCACTCTCCTTAGCTCAGTTCAGTGTCTCTAGATAAATGCTCTGGGTTTATTGCTCAAGGCAATATTGGAAAGGTTACACAGAACAAAAAAGTTAATTTATTACCGCAGTCACAGAAACCAGAAAATCAACATGAACAAAAAAATCAATACTGGTTCTTTACATTATATCTGAGACACACCATGGTTCTCCCAATCAATCAGGCCATGACTGAGTATTCCCAAGTGTCTAGGTTTTGCACTGAGAAGTCAGCAGTGCTGTCTCTAGAGTAGGATTCAAAAGCCATAGGGGATGGGTAGAGAAGCAGCCAGTTACATTATCCCTATTTTCCTTTGCTAAAGGTAGAATTCTCCTTTTTTATATTTTCCCTCAAAAAAGCTAATTTCTTAGTTCAAATTCCATCAGAAATCTATTTCCTTGATTGGAGCTACAAACAGTTCCAATTCTTTGAAACCTTTCTTCATAGCTTCAACAATTCATATTCCAATCCTCCCCTTTTTGAACATACAGACTTTGCAGTCTAATGTAATGCCTAGCACATGTTAGCACCAGTTTAGAACAAGTGAAAATTTCAGGGATCACTTGAGTAAGGAAAGATCAAGCAGCTGAAATACAATTGCCATTACAATATATTATAGTTCTCAAATGATTTTCCCTGCATATAAGCTCTTCAAACCCAGACTTTCAGCTCTATCTTAAAACCCACATCAGACACTAATAATTGAGTACATGGACTTAGAACTTTTCATCAACCCATCTCCTGCTAGTTGTTGATATGACACATTACTTGGCCTCAGATATACCTAAACAAATGTTGTGATTTCCAAAAACTCACTGCAGCTGTCTGATCCTATGCTACCTAGTTCCAGCAGAAGCTGAGTATCAAGGTAAGTTAACAACTAACAATACAATTAAATTTCACTATTTTGAGTTCTAATAGATATGTGACAAATGAAAATTTATCGCCTACTGCATGTGCAATAAAGAGCAACACCATCTCTAAGACAGCAATATTTGATACACAAAACATCTCCTGAGCTACTCAGTTTTCAGTCTGGAGTACTCAGCCAAAATGATGCATGAGCTAAAGACTACAGTCACTCCACAGCTGATTTATGAGCAGACAAAAAATCTGGTGGGCTGAAGAGGGTAACAACCTACTAATGTCTGTCACAAACCTAAACGTACTGCAGTGAAAAATCACACAGGATAAGTCTGCCACATGTACGTTTGCTTTGCTCCCTGGAATCTTTCCTCTTTGTCTTATTGCAGGAACTGAAGCAGAGATTACTGTAAGAAGAATACTATCTATATAAACCAGCTATGCACTGGCAAATAATTTCCCCACAGATCAGAATATTGTTTTATTTATCTCTGTAAGTAAAACTTTTACAGAGTTCTGCACTTAGCTGATTGGAGAATGGAGACCTTAATTTTTTTTATGTTTTGTAGTTATTTTTTATGTTTTGTACATATATAGTTTATTATTTATAATGATAATATCATATATTAAAGAGTTGCACAAATCCAGAAGTAGACTGTTTGAGTAGTAGGCTTATTTCAGCTATGGATGGAAAGCAAAGTCTCAAGGAAGCTAATGTACATACATGTACCTTCTTTCCAATTCTCTTCCCTATCCCACAGGGGCAGGAAGGGAGTGGGGGAAATGAGCAAGAAGCTTTGTGGTACTTGGTAGCCAGCTGAGATTAAACCATAAAAATAAAATAACACATTTTCTTCCTTTTAAATGATTCAAAGTATTTTTTCATAACTCAGCAGAGAATTTAGCCCATAACTCAGAAAGAACTGGAAACCAGAGTTTCTGGTTTGATTTTCATTTGCTTCTATTTTCACCAGAAAACAAATTTTACTGGACCAAACCATCTGTCTTTCCACCACAATAGCTTTTAATTTCAAACAAATAGGATAGCTCTCAAAGACTTTCAGTTCCTGCAAATTTAATGAAAATTGGTGATTAAAGACAGAACCCAAATTAGTAAACTGACACAGAGACAGACAGTTAAAATTCAATTAAAATGGCTCACATCTATCTTAAGAGTCACCAACCAGCTGGTCAACCAGCATTAGTTTTAGATGGCATGTAAATACAAGCCCAGTCCCAAAGGTGCAACTAGGTAGTAATCAGAAAGGTAAGCTCTAGCATGAAGCTGAAAATACTAAGAAATTTGGAGGGCAAAAGGGAAGCTGTGCACAAAAGAATAGAAAAACTGTAAGTTTCATCATTCATAGAATAATTTCTTTCAAAACTAAGATCAAATATCACTGGAAAAATTATTTATTTTCTTTGGGTTTTTTTAAGGCTGTTACAGCCCA